CAAAGTCAATCCATGCCCGCTGGAAGAGTGAGATAAGAAAGCAGCGCAGGAACATGCAGGTTAGTACTGCTGATTAGAAACCTTTATTATTTATTCATGCTTAGATCAGACTCTTATTCATAATAATGCCGTTAATGTCACTAAATGGTGTTAATAAAACCTAGCTATGTGGAAAAATATGAAATAGCTTGATGTGCAATCCAGTCGTAAATGTACATTCACCTCGTTTTTCTCCAAGTTGCACTCCTCCATCATTTTGTCTCCCTGCTCCTGGAATGTGATGATGATGAGAGCAACAAAGATGTTGACAAAAAAGAAGGGGAAAACCACAAAGTATATGACATAGAAAATGGACATCTCCATTCGGTTTCCTCTGCTTGGGCCGTGGTTTTCCTCAGTCATGTCCACCGAGTGTTGGAGAACTCTGTAGAAAGCATAATGAATGCATCCAATGAATTCAACAAAAAAAAAAATATATATATATTTTTTTTTTTGCAATTTATTTACTGCTACATGGACTGAATATGATGTTTGTTTTCCCAAAACATGGCTCCGTTCTAATTTAACAAACCTGTGGACATTTCTGTGTTCTCAGAAGTGGAGGTCGTCTTTGGGTAAACTTCTATAGTGGTGAACGGAAACATTTCTATGCATTTCTATGACTTTCCACATAAAGAACAAATATAGAGAGAGTGATTGTGGTGGTCAGAAGAGAGAAATATATCAAATTTGCCATTAGCCTGTCTGTAAATGAGTGCCAAAGTAAAATAACTCGCAGTATAGTGTTACAAATGTGCATTACATTTTTTAATTGCTAAATTTATGATGGAAACGCATCATCACAGTCTGTGAAAAGGGTCCATTTTCAGTATTTAAAATGTGCAGCATGAAATCTCTTCCTGCTTCTTCACAGACATGCTACTCAACCCACACTCAATTCATCAGTGACAGTCCACATTATTTCCCCCGCCTTCTCAACCACTGATTCTTGGCATCAACTCTTAATCAAACATCTCTCCACATGGATCCCAACTCAACATTAGTCTCAGCAGTAACACTGTAACATAAGGACCATAACAAACAGAGGTGGCTCGCCAATTCTGGGTCTAAACTGATGTTTTCTAAACTGATGGCTGTACTCCAGAAGTCTTCAGACAATCCATAATTTCTGAAAACAAGTTGGCTGGCTGATTATAGGGATTAATGTGCACATCTCTGAGAATTTGCCAATAAGTACCAAAGCTGGAGAAAATGGTTGTAACAAGATAAGATCTGTTATGAAAGGTGGGACCTGCAAAGGTTTCTTTGAGCAGTTATCCAGACTGTGCACACAGTTTATTATTGGATGCAATTAGCAGCATCACGGCTCTCATAACTGCATGACCTTGAAGAAATGTTTTATGTGGAGGCTCATCTTTCTAAGCTCTCAAACGATGGAATGAAATCATTTAAATAACAGTGCCGATAAAAATACATTTGCATCATAATTATGATGAGTATGAAGTTGGATTAAAAAGCAGAAAGAAGAAAAGACCTTCGGTTGCATTTCCATTTCTTTAAAAGTCTGGAATATTACTATGGGTGTAAAAGTAAACTGTGTCTTCAGTCCACTGGAGTTGGCTCTTCCTTTAGCTTTTCCCTGGGTTTGCTCGCACACATTTTTTAAGGTGGTTCGTTCCAAGCATCTTGGAGAAGGTGCCACAGTTCTTCTATGGATGAACCCCAGACTGACTTGAAGATGGTGAGATCAGATCTCTGCGTGGGCCACACAATCTGTTGTGGGACTCCTTGTTCATACGAAAATTTCACTGGATTATAACAATATTTGCAAAAGAAAAAACTAAACAAAATATGAATAACCATCTTAAAACGAATGTTTTGTGTCACATAATGTGCAGACGATGTTGCACAGTTCTTGTATGTTTCAAGGTTTTAGAACATTTCTGGAAAGGTTCCGGTAACTGTCGAGTGATTTTGTTCATTCACACTGCCAAACGCTTTCACAACGTGACATCTATTGTGCTCGCCGGGAAGCCCAGCTTTTTCACGGTTGACATTTGCCAACATTTCTGGCATTCTGGATCCGATTTGCATTTCCACAGAAGGCACAGAATTTCCAGAAGCCCAGTGCTTCATTCTGATGGCATTCACTCCTGTGATTTTGCATAGTTTAATGAGCACTAAAACCTTGTTAACATACTAATATATTTAAAATTATTGAGATCTGTTTAATTTAAATATGGTCATTATATTCCGTTCACCATTATGTCTTGAAACAGGCACTTACAGTATGCACAGAGAAAAGCATTATCTTTATGAGCAAACAAAAAATGCTCAAAAGTATTCACCTCTACATTGTCATTCTCCAGAGGAGGTTTAGGCAACCTGTCTGAAACCAAAGCGTAGAAAGCTAACTCTCCACTGACACACATTTCCTTGGCAGATGTGTTACAAATACTTGAGAAGGCAGCAGAGTAGCCTAGCATCAATAGCCCTGCACTGACAAGCCTCTTCCTTTCATGAAAGTCTCCATCTCTCTCAGATCTCAGAACAAACGTGGGTGCTGACCAAAAATGCATCATGTTGCCAAATGCTCAAGTAAGTAAGAAACATCCAGGCCTTCCTATTGAGTGCATCACTGTATTTTTCTAATTCACTTTTCCTATAGGGATTTGGCTAAAGAGTTATAAGCTATGAATCAAACCAAACAGCAACGAGAAGAATCACAACATTCCAAACTTTGATTTGAAGCAAAAAATATTTAGAAAATCTGACAAAAAGACAAAGAAATAAGACGTCTGTGTGTATGTAACGTCTGCAATCATGGATGGAAACTACAATCCCATGAAGCACTGTGAATGACATAATCGATTTAAAAGCAATGGAGAAATATAAAACAATCCATTCAAAGTTGTTGATTGTAAATATAGCATCAATATATTTAAGTTTATCTCAAAATATGTATGCATACTTATGTGACCCTGGACCACGGTGGTCATAAGGTTTGAAATTGAGATTTATGCATCATCTGAAAGCATTGATGTATGGTTTGTTATGATTGGACAATATTTGGCCGAGATACAACTATTTGAAAATCTGGAATCTGAGGGTGCAAAAAAATCTAAATATTGAGAAAATCATCTTTAAAGTTGTCCAAATGAAGTTCTTAGCAATGCATATTACTAATCAAAAATTAAGTTTTGATATATTTACGGTAGGAAATTTACAAAATATCTTCATGGAACATGATCTTTACTTAATATCCTAATGATTTTTGGCATAAAAGAAAAATGGATAATTTTAACCCATACAATGTATTGTTGGCTATTGCTACAAATATACCCCAGCGACTTAAGACTGCTTTTGTGCTCCAGGGTCACATATATTATATACATAATTCGCAGTGCTTCATGGGAGTGGGTGGAGCTAAATATCTGGTTTGGCACGATTTGCTTGCTGCAACTTTCTGATTGGTGGAATTTTCTGCACTGCACCATGGGTAGTGTAGATTTTCACCAGGGTTTCTGCTGTTAAACACGATTATCTTAAACATAAGTTGAAATAATGCGATCTGACAGCTTCAACAGAAGCATGAATTCCTTCAACCCGCAGTCTTCGAAGTGTTATAAGATATTGTAACAAATCAGTTTCCCTATGGAGAAAAATAATAACCCAACTATTGCACTCTGTAACCCTACTCCACAAAGCCATTTTTTTCACCAGGGTTTCTGCTGTTAAACACGATTATCTTAAACATAAGTTGAAATAATGTGATCTGACAGCTTCAACAGAAGCATGAATTCCTTCAACCCGCAGTAAGTCTGTCTTCGAAGTGTTATAAGATATTGTAACAAATCAGTTTCCCTATGGAGAAAAATAATAACCCAACTATTGCACTCTGTAACCCTACTCCACAAAGCCATTAGTAATTGTGACCTGATATATTAACATGTTTATGAAGTGTTCTGAAGCCATCAAGTAGTTTTAGCCTAACTGAGGTACTCATTTTACATTTGAATTAACTATACAACAGTCTGGTGCAGTATATAAATGAATGGACATACTGTGGCCAGCCCTCTCCTGTGGACACAGTGAAGAGCGTCAGAAGAGCCCAGAGGACATTATCATAGTGGAACTCGTGTCTCCTCCACTCACGCTTCTTCACCTCCTTTCTGTCCCTCCCATAGTCAATGTAGTAGCCTCTATACAACACAGAACAATTCAAACCATGGCAGACAAACAAACAAGACATGCATTAAAGAATACTAAACAATGCACAGTTGTACCAGGATTCCTGAACTCTTAATAAAATAAAAATACAGAACTAGGCCTAGCAGCGCTCCATCCTCATCCTCTCACTTCTGTAGTGTGACTTCATTTGAGATTCATCTCGATCGATCTATCAGGCTGATTGGGAAGTGTTGTACTCTCAGTCCCACACAGAGGTGGGCAGAGTATCCAAAAACTGTACCCAGACAAAAAGTACTTATAGAAATATTTACTCAAGTTAACGTAAAAGTAGTACGCTTAATAGTTACTTGAGTAAGAGCAAAAAGTATAAAAATTAACAAAACATTTATAATGTTTTAAAATTCATAATTATAACGATATTTATTATGTTTGAATATTCAAAGCATTTCACGGGAACAAAACATGCAAGCTTGAACTGCACTGATGGTAGGAAAAAGTCTTATTATGGAATTTACTTGCAAATTTAAATATTGAATCACACTAAATTACAATTGACATGAGAAATATCTTCATGCATTGCAATGGAAAAGATAACCTATATGCTTAAGGGTAAACAAGCTAAATTTAAGAAAATCTGGAGTCCTTTTTATTATTTATTGAATGTACGGATATTAACAATATAATAGAGGATCAAAATTCTGGATTGGGTATTTAAATATATTTTAATGTACATTTTATTAACCCCTTACAACTGCGGTTGTTATTGTTTGCAATGGATTATTAAATCTAACTTCCAAAGTACAGACTGTATTAACCCTTATGTTGGTTTGTGCTTTACACTTTTTATGTAATATGAGCCCCTAGTGTTTGTTTGTTTTCTTTTCTTTTCTGTACATTGTAAGTGTTGCTACAGACACGGTATGTACATGTGTCAGTCTTGTAAGTGTTTCAAAAAAATTTAATAAAAATAAAAAATAAAAAAAATTGACTGCCTTGAAACATAACTTAAAGGTCCCCTGAAATGCTTAGCAACACGCAGCTTTACTCTGTGTTGACGTCATTTTAACTGAAACAGGAAGACAGGGCGGGACATATCAAGCAGCCACGCCCCTTTTTAAAATAGCCAATAGCGTTCGTTTATATCACAGCTTGGGCTAGAGCCGTTCAGAGCCGTTGAGCTCCGTAAAGCTGCATTTGACAGGGTATGCCAGCCATAATCTCATCCATATTGCTATAAAATATAGCATGCTGTGTAGAATTCAAATAGCTCCGATACATTTTGTGGTCTGCGCCGACTCGCGCATGTGATCCGCTCCGTGCTATCGTGTCTCTGGACCGGAGCAGAGTGTGTGTGCAGTGCGGTGGTTAGCATGACACAGCGCCAAACCAGACTTCTTTTTTTCCTCAATGGAAAGCATATTTACACTGTTTGAATCGTTCCCTGTCCCCTATATAGTGCACTACGTGCCATTCACTGTACAGAAAATACTAATTCTGTGGACAAGTGACCGATTTCAGCCACGGCTTCAGCGTCTATTTTATAGTGTAGGGGGCGGGCGCTTCGGATTCTAGAGAGCATTTGATTGGACAGAAAGTTTGATGAGAAGCTGAAATATGATGTGACGTAAAAAAAAATCGTTGAGCCGTTTTGGCGGAAGTGACGAACTGCAAGCTTTGAATGCTTATATCTTCTAAATGCGAATTTTGTCACTGTTTTGGAGCACACTGCCTTATAGATAACCTTAAGACTAACATATTGATACTAACACCCAAAAAACTTAAATTTTGATTTCATGGGGACTTTAAAAATCACTTTTTGTTATGTTGGTTGTCTCTTTACATCTTGATAGCAATCACTAAGTTAAGTGGTTTAAATGTATTTATATCGTCTGTGGAAGGTGT